GTTTAGGGTAAAGTTCAGGGTTTAGGGTTTACGGTTTAGGAATGAGGGTGTAGTATTTAGGGTTTATAGGGTTGAGGGTCTGGGTTTTGTAGGGTTTGTAGGGTTTAGGGTTAGAGGGTTCAAGGTTTATAGGGGTTTAGGGTTTACTATCAGTTCATGGTTAGGGGCCGAATATGGCTGCGAAGTGGCAGGATCCTTATTGAAAAGACCCCTTAAACGATCTTGAGACAAAAACCTCCAACAAACCTTAAACCCTAAACCCCTAAACCCTATGTTAACCCCAAAACCCCTAAACCCTAAACTTTTAGAACCCTAAACCCCTAAACCCCGAAACCCTAAACCAACATTCAACCCCAAAGCCTAAACCTGCATACATATACTTAAAAATCCCTGCCAAGCCGCAGAAGCCTCATAACGACCCTGATGAGCCCTAAACCCATGCACGCTATTATTCGCGGGTTTAGGGTTTAGCTTTTACAGCGCACTTATAGAGCTCTTGTAGTTAGAGCCTTCGAAAGCACCCTTGAAGGAACCCCTAGACCTCTAAACCCCTGAAGCCCCTTCAAAGGAACCCCTAGACCGCTAAACCCCTACAGCCCTTCACCCGAAACCCGAAATCCTTAAGTTTACTATAGGGGCCTCAATGCTTAGAATAGGGTTTTGGGGCCCACTGTACTATAATCATATAAAAACGAGCCCCCTCCCCCCCAAAAAAAAACAAAACAACTCTACAGGTAATTACCAAGGCCCTATAATATGACCCTGAACCCTGAACCCTAAACCCTAAAGCCTAAAACCAAAAACTCTAAACCCTAAACCCTGAACCCTAGACCTCTACACCCCTCAACCCTAAGCCTTAAACCCTACACCCCTCAACCCGAAACCCTAAACCCTCAACCCTAAGCCCATTCAAAGACCCAGGTCCTGCTTCGTGAGCTGCAGCAGTATCAGTCTGCCATCGAGAGCCTCCAGGTCGACTCTGTTGAGGGCTCCTTTCAGGGAGCTATAGGGGTTTAGGGTTTAGGGTTTAGGGCTCCTATAAGGGATCTATAGGGGTTTAGGGTTTAGGGCTCCTTTAAGGGATCCATAAGGGGTTTAGGGTTTAGGGTAAGGGAGCTATAGGGGTTTAGGGTTAAGGGCTCCTTTAAGGGATCTACAGGGGTTTAGGGTTTGGGGTTTAGGGTCTAGGGTTTAGGGTTTGGGGTTTGGGGTTCCTTTAAGGGATCTACAGGGGTTTAGGGTTAAGGGCTCCTTTAAGGGATCTACAGGGGTTTAGGGTTTAGGGGTCCTTTAAGGGAGCTATAGGAGTTTAGGGTTTAGGGTTCCTTTAAGGGATCTACAGGGGTTTAGGGTTTAGGGTTCCTTTAAGGGATCTACAGGGGTTTAGGGTTTGGGGTTAAGGGCTCCTTCAAGGGATCTACAGGGGTTTAGGGTTTGAGGTTTAGGGTTTAGGGTGTAGGATCTATAGGGGTTTAGGGTTCAGGGTAAGGGATCTATAGGGGTTTAGGGATTAGGGTCGACTTGGAGGTTCATTGGACTTGGTAGGGAGAGGTACAAGTACCTTTATCGGGGTTATAAGTAATTCAATGTGTAGTTACCTTATTCAAAACGCTGGCTACTAGCTCCCTAAACCCTAAACCCTGGTTACTAAGCCCCATAAACCTTTAAGTAGGGTCTAGGCTGAAGGGTTTGAGGGTGCCAGGGTTAGTACAAGGTCTAGGGTTCACAAGGTTTGGGGTTTAGGGTTCACAGGGTTTAGGGGCTAAGGGTTAGTGGTAGGGTCCACGGCTTTTGGACTATTCGAGGGTAGCAGGGTTTAGAGTTCTAGGAGTGTTTTGAGGGTGCCTGTGAGGATTTTGGTCTTGTTTCGGTTCTTGGGTTCCACAGTTCCGCAGTTGTTCCAGACTTCTCGACGGCTTATGCGGGTTCTATAGCGAGGCCTGTTGATCAAGGGTTGTAGCTGGGATGGGGGTTTTGGGGTCTGTGGTGCGAGTGTCTAGGGAATTTTGGGGTTTCGGGTGTAGTGGATTAGCAGGGCTTTGGGGCTTAGGGTTTGGGGTTCAGGACAGAATTAGGGCCCTTCGGCGGATTCTGGGTGATTCAGGGGTTTGTGTATTTTGGGGGTTTAGGGTTCCGTCATAAAGGGGGGAATCGGGTGTAGGGCTGGTACTGCTACTGAGACGAGTGGTACAGCTCTCTCCCCTCACCCTCTAAAACCCACTCCTTGACATTCCTCGATGTCTTCAAGCCCTTTCAGTTCTCCCCAGATGGGTCAAAGGAACACCCCAAACCCCTACAACAGATGGTGGAACGACTGTCGACGGAATTGAGCCGGGTTCAGACATGAAAAACCCAACGTTAGCTGCTTGTCTGAACCGCCGTATCAAACACCCTATAAACCTCTTAACCCCTAAAGCCTGAACCCTAAACCCCAAACCTCTAAACCCCTAAACCCTAAACCCCAAACTTCTTCAATTCTAGGGAATGTTTGAAATTTCTTTATTAGGCTTTAGAGGTATATACTCAGACTCATGAGAAGATTCCGGCCCAAACATGACGATCCAGGTCATGAATTTCAGACCTGATATGGTGCTCTAAATAAACCCTAAACCCTTAAACCCTAAACCCTAGCTCCAGATACATCCTGGGTAGTTTGGACGACTGCTGCTTGACCTCTGCATGCCAAAATACAAGAATGTCCCGGTCTATAAGAAGGCTGGTTTAGGG